TTGCAATGTCTGCATTTTTTTCTTCATATTAAAAATTTCTTTGATCTACCGTTGTCTCCATGTCTGTTTTACGCGTTTTTTTGTCTACTAAATTGAAATTACTCAAATTAGAATTGTTTTGATGTTCTTGCCCTGAAATTTGTTTGAAAATACAATGTCTTTCTAATGTATCGGAAGTGCTTAATATAATGTCTGGCTTGTTTTAAAGAAAATTCTGGTACACTAATGGTTAAACAAGTATTTTATATAGAACACGTATATTATACAGAAATTTAATTAGACTTCAAACTTTTATATTTGGAGATTTTTTTTCTATCAATTCTTAAAGAAGTTTTGATTACGATATACATATACATGTAGCAAATTGCATGCTTTGGGGGGGGGGGGGGGGGGGGATCAAGCCCAATAAGTAATTTTTAAAGGAATATTTGACTAAGTGTACATTAAATGAATTATTCCTTAACATAAATGGTGGTGATTTAAGATCAATTTCTATTTGATTTTCTACTTTATGTCAATGTTGACCTTTGTGAAATGAAATGCAACAAAAATGATATGAAATTTAATCTTTGCCTCGCATTGATATCTGGAATATAGCGAGTTCAAAAATTATTGAATATTGTACCACAAACTACTAGATTATATAATTATGTACTTGCGACTCATTTTGTAATTCTCACTTTTAACCTTTCAACACAAGTAACCATAAAATTGTGTGCATGTACAGCTGTAAACTTAAACGCTCTTTGTGCGATTTTAAGTGATTAATGATTACTGTATATGTAAACAATACTTAAAGTAGTCCGTTCCTTACTGACCTTAGGCTTTGAAAATCAGCAGTTATGTCATTGGAAATGCTGATAAAAATGAAACTGAACTCAAAAACTTGTGTGCATTTGCCCATGCTATTTCTTCAAAGTTTATCATTAAAATTAATACTATCTTTTATCAATTTATTTAACCGAAAGAAAATGAGTTGTATAGAATCGGTTACCGGTAAAAAAAGAATTTCAAGTGAAAAATCTTTCATTATTATTTTAACATTTTACATTGTTTTCTGTAGTAATATTTTTTATAAATATATCATTTCCGTAAAATTGTGATTTTATGCTTGAGAGTGACATTCACAATAAATAGTAATATTTGCGTATCTGTTTTTATGATGTATAAATGCTTTCGAAGTCTATTCAAACTAAAATCGTGCGAGAATATAGCGTTATTCTTTTTTAAGAAACTTAACATAATTATTTCTAGTTTTTTGTTTTACATCCCATGCGAGAATTTTTCCCTCATAAGAGACATCAGTATATACGGTGAAGGGCTTCAAATTTGGATCTTTACTCAACACTCACGGCCATTAATTGAGCAGTGAGGGTTTTTTTTCGTGGCAACGCTTACTGTGACGCGGGACCTCAGAATTTCAAATCTCACCGGAAAGACCCGTGACTTTCACTTCTAAAACCGGGCGATTAGCGAAGGAACAGTTGCTACCTGTGTTAAGGGTCCTAGGTTTGACGGAACGAGAATCAAAACCAGTAACACCCATACTCTCCAATCAGGAAGCGAGCGTCTTACCGCTAAGTTTTCACGAACGGTCTTTAAATATATGAAACCATGTACAAGAGTAACTAACTATATGTAGCAAAAACGTCAAGGATTACAACGTTTTCTTTGCTTGGGGAAAAACTCTTATTTTCTGTAAATTTTTTTTCAGAAAGTTATTGTTTTCCGCACGAAACAGTACTCCTATGACTTGATTCCATTTCCTGATGTCAAATATGTACATTAATTACGGCATAGATGTCAGAGGAAAAAATCATAAAAAGTAGAGCCGTCTAGAAATATTTTAAAATCATAAAAAGTAGAGCCGTCTAGAAATATTTTAAAAAACGTTCATGATTGCGTTAAAGTTTGTTAGGGAAATATTTGTGTTCCATACCGAGTTCACATTCAAATGTTCATTATAGAACTACAAGCAACAGTAGCAATTTGACCTGTCAATAAAAATGACAATAATTAGAGTCTTGTGAGGGGTTCAGCTTGACCTTAGGAAATAAAAGTCTGAAACATTCTATCAAATATCGACGGGTTATTAAGGGGTTCTGTTAGAGACAGACTTCGGAGTTTGACGTACGTCACTTATTTTTTAGTGACAAAATGCACAGAAGATGAAAAACAAAATTCTTGCAAATGAATTGCAAATGGTTAATAAATAATTTTTAAATTTGGAAATCAGAAGTAAGAAAAGACATTTCAATGTCCATAAACTGAATAAGATTCTATTAATCTAGAGGATGATAGTGCTTGGTCTCTGTGTTTTGGGCGCTATTTTTTAACATTAAAAACTGAGGTCAAAATTTTCAGAAATCCTGTTTGAGCAAATATTTCTAAGCATCGCAAAAGACAACCCTGTAAATTATGTTTTTTTTCCCTCAACATTATTACAGTTTAAAAAAGACTGGATTTTGAATCTATTTATAACAACTGAAATATTTGTATACATGTGATCAAAAAGTGATAGTGAGTATATCTTTCGTTGGTTTCTCAAAAGTTGACAGAAAATAGAGAGAGAGAGAGAGAGAGAGAGAGAGAGAGAGAGAGAGGAAAAAAGTAATATCCAAACATGAAAAATGATCATGGGGTTGTGATACAAGACTTTAGTGGACTGGATTAGGCAATTTGAATTGTCGGAGTACGTTCAATGTAATGCACATTGCATACATCTTGCTGTTGTTACATGTATACGAAAGCCATGCAGGGACATGTAAGAGTTAGATCCATATGATATTCGAAACATGGTGGACCATCATTTTCTTATTCTGCTAAACGTCCTGCAGTGACAATTTCAAGAAGGATCAAACAATGAAGTAATAGAAAAACTTCAAATGAAAATAAAATCTGCAACACCAGATATACTAACACTTGAACTTGTTCAAGTATGGTTTCTTGACTGTCTTGATTGAGACCTTGTATCATTTTGCCGATGATGTTGACAACAAAGCGATATTTTCAACTGAGACAACATGGTCAATGCAAAATACCGGATTTATCATTACTCATGTCGTTCCGGAGCACTTACTCGTACTTCGGTACACATTTGGTCAAAGAAACGTTCAGGAAACGTTTAGGCTTCGACAGAAGTAGGGGTAGTTTTGCTAGACTCAGACAGATATAACAGAAAATGAAGAGCATTGAAGTGAACTGTTCACTAAAGCTATATCTACAGTATCTGAAATTAGTAATTAATTTGAACAGACTGTTCCAAGAGATACCAGAAGGCAGAGGAATCAAACGAAAACCCAAGTGAGCCCAGATTCTCATGATATCAAAAAAGTTAGTGAACAGTAGCTTTCCGGGAAAGAGAATTCGGAAAAGAGAATACCAGCCATTATAAAAATATTCCATTTACAGCGACGCTTTTTTGTCGCAAGTTTCAAGTTTTTATTCTAGTATCATAATTGTGCGTTTCCCTGTCTGAAGCATAGCATCTGTTTTAATAACTCCTTTAATTGTGCTTAGAATGCTACTGTTTCAGAAACTTCGCCTACTGCATGACAGTCACGTTGGGGTCATACTGAATACGCCTGAAAAGAAAAATAAGTCTTTCTGGAAAATCTACTTAGTAGTTAATTTTATTTTTTTTGTCAATTGTAAATAACATTTATAATATATAAATAACACGAGAGGATTGTATATTTTCTTGGAAAGTATTATATTATTTTCCTGTAAGCATACATGAAAAAAATTTGATTTTCCCTTACAAATTAAAACTATTCTATTGGACATCAAGAAAACTATAATTATTAATAGATGCAGGTATATAAAAAGACAAATAAATTTGTAACAAAAAATAAAGAAAGAAGTACATGTATTTAAATGAAATGTGTTTAAAATATAAATCCGTTAAATTAAATATTTAATCTAAGAATTAACAGTGAAATGAGGCAATTTTAACCAAAAAATTACCCCTTTATAAAAATGGGCCTTAAATCCTGATCTAGAGGCACTTGCATCTAAACTGTCCCAAGACCCTGTCGTCTTAAGGCTTACTGATACATGTAAAACAGGACAAGAAGACCCTGTATTCTCAAGGCTTACTTATAAAACAGGACAAGAAGACCCTGTCGTCTGAAGGCTTACTTATAAAACAGGACAAGAAGACCCACGTGACCCTGTCTTCTCAAGGCTTACTTTTAAAACAGGACAAGACGACCCTGTCTTCTCAAGGCTTTCATATATAAAACAGGACAACATACGCTGTAGTATGATAATTCTAATGTTTGCTGCCTTCTCATAAACAAGTACCGCAAATTTGTCATGACCCCCAACTTTTCTTACCACAGTAATCACAGATTGCAAATTTGTTTCCACAGAAAATGCTTCAGTACTATTATTGGGTTAATCCTATTAAATACTATTATGGCATTTTGTTAAAAGAGGCATAACAATAATTTGCACAAACCTCCTCCAAATGCTACTTTGTTCGCGATCTATTGACTATTCGCCCGTTTTAAGCAATCCTTTTTGGATCAATTAAAAATATTCAAAATGCAGCGTCAAACAATCTCTACCATTCCCAGAGGATTGTACCTGGATTCAGTTGCTAGAAATGATTCATTCTTTTTTTTCACTTGATATTGCTTTCAAATACCGAAGAGTTTGAAACTACATTATTATATTGACAACATGTACACGTGGTCTATGGCACAGTATTATGCAATTGCTAAGAGATGGACTACAGTGTATATCCGTTTTAAAAATTGATTTTAAATTCGTTTTTGTAAGGATTTTATTTTTTGTCAGCTGGTCTATTTGTGATAAGGATTTATCATTGTTCCGGTAGCTGAACTAATTTACCTGGAGGAGAGATAGGAGATTGCTTAATAATTCATGTTGACAATTTTGTTGGGGTGATCAATAAATGTATTTATAATGTATATACCTAATTTAAATTTTCAAGTCTTTTTTTTTTCCTTATTTCAGTATTGAAGATATTTGAAATTGTAATGGTTATCGCAACAAAAGCCAACTCACAAACAATAGATGTTAACCATATATTTCAAAATGTCGATCAATAATGGAGCTCTACCGGCAAACAACGTTCATGATAAGAAACTCAAAGATGGCGGAATAATTCTTGGCAGTCCGGAAATAATACGATTGAAATTTACACCTAAACAAAATAGCCTCCCAATTAGTGTTGAGAGTGTGAATCCACTAATAGACAATTTTGAAGACCGGAAGTTGCCCAAATTCCGTGCCACTCTCTCCGAACCGAATATCTTCGTAACCCCGGCAGCCTCAACCGAAACAAGCCCCGAACATGTGATAGTTTTTCCTAAAGGATCAAATAGTCTGTTCCAGGTTAATCAACTATACGGAAAATACAAGAAAAAAGTAAGTAGAATCAATCTCTTTCGTTTGTGCATATACATGTTGTACATTTGTACAGCCTAAGTCTATTTATCAAATAACGCCAACATCAGCAGTAAAAGATTGTCTTAATTTTTAATGACCAAATTCGATTGTGTTGGAATTGTGTTCATATAAGCACCATATTTGAGAGCAAATAATCTTAGAGTTTATGGCGACGAAACGAATCATTAATTCATGACTTAGGACACACACACCCTCATACACACACATACACCCTATAGATAGATAGATAGATAGATAGATAGATAGATAGATATACAATATCGTAAATTTTATTGCTCTCCTTTTTGAACGAATAACGGCCTTAATTCATTTAGGCATGTTAAGTTATCACATACTTTTTTTTCGTACTGGGCAACGTTTTTGCCACATTTCTTTTTATTTATAAGTTATTGGCATGTTGTCATAAATATCTCGTCTTCTTCTTTTGGCCTCAAATGTTTTTATTTGTTAGCATCAGGACTGTTTCAAGGGAATCGAAGTGTAGAAAATACACTTCATATGAGAAACTCTCGTTTGCTTTTTAAGGTATGGCATCCTTCTAAGTAATACATGTCAATAGATTCCTGTGAAATACTGAAAAAAGGACACGAGGTACTACATTTTCCAGTATTTCCTAATGAACACAAGAGAGCTTCTCAAACGCTTTGCATTTTCTACACTTAGTCTAACACAGCCTAAAAGCAGTCCCGATTATTTGAAACGCAAAATGTAAAATATACGTTGGAATAAGGAGACTTTAGTTTAAACACACCAACGGCTAAAAAAGACATAATTATAGAAGACACATCAGTGGGAATGGTACTTCAAGCTCTGTGAAAACTTCATTCATGGCACACCTAATGCCATTAAGGCTATCATTCGTGCATAAGGAGCAACTTAATACTAGAGAAAAAAAAACAAACATGCAATCATGATGGTAATAACTATATATTTATTTTCAACATGTGCGTTTGATTAGTTCACAAAAACATAATTTGATTAGAATTTTATTTTGAGCTGTAGGCCTACAACTCTGTTAATAAGAAATAACATGTTGCAGCTGCCAACTCTCTTAGTGAATTAATGTTACATTAAAATTTTAGAAATTCATCTATTTTAAATTTAAGTGATAAACGTTTACATAAATTATAAGTTATGATTAAGTTTACTGGTACCTTTTCTGTTAAATTCTGATATACAACTATTAATTACAAACTGGGAAAAAATAATCATTCAAGATTGTTCAATTAGGAGTTATATGTTCGTTGATATCCTAAAAAATCAATGACCAAATGTTTAGCAGATGGTAAGTGAATGTATATTTTTGAAAATGAATAGTTAAGGCAATATAATATCCATTCCAAATTGTTAACAGAATTTTTCACAATTTTAAATCAGAAAAAAATTATTCATTCTTTTCATTCTACTCCAGAGTTATACATGTAAAAAGCTGAAAAATTTTACACAATAACCCCAAAGTTCAGACTTTATTATCGAATTGTTAATTTCTAGCACATCTGGGTCGCTTTTTTGTTTGCCTCTCTTAAAATAACGATTTTGTAATTAGTTATCATTGTCTTGTCAACAAAACAGCTGTTACAATTAGTCAGAAATCTTTGTGTAGATTTATGCAAATGTATATTACATTGTTTTATTTTTGTTTTTTCTTTGAGTTCTGTTGATAAGTTGAATTATTTAAAAGCAAAATTTTAATTACTTTCATTATTTTGATAAGTGATAAGATAACACAAAATACAATCCTTTTCCTTTAAATTACGTTGGGGTAATATAAAATAACTCTTAAAAATATATCTCTCGTCATCAATTTTAACACATGTTGTGAAACACTCACAAATATGAAAATATTTTATTGTATATAAACATGTACATCACACAAAAGAAATAGGTATTGCTGGTCTTCTTGAACACAAGAACATTTACACAAAGAAGCAACATTTGGATTAACTCCTACTGATTTTGGAAAACTTTCCATTTTGCTGCGTGCCAACACCTGTGTATCTTTCTGAAGTTTCAGTAACAGGTCGCGTGCTAATTTTCAAGCCTGGTTCTTAAATTGAGTTTTGATGACCATCGTTACACCTTCGCCATAATAAAAGCTAACGTGTTGGGTATTCATGCGTTTCGTATCACCAACAATCGTTTGCCTATTTCTATGCATGATTGACTTTTGTATCATTTAGACATTAACATCTCGGATTAGAAATGGATTTCAAATCTGTCAAATTCCAAAATGAATTAATAAAACGAGTTTTCTATTTAATGGCCTTTGTTTTGTTAGAAATATTTTGCAGCTGTTGAGCACCATTTTCTTCAAAGGATTCATAAAAACCGCGTTGCTTTTGCTTTCTTTTATGAGCAATTTAGTCGTTAATGTTAGTTGTGGTGGCCTGTCCAGAGACAAAAAGTACAAAAATCTTTTATAATATAATGGAGGATAATTTCAAAATCGTGGTAAGTCAAAACTGATTGGTTTTTGTTATGATATATTCAGACAGAATTTAATGCGGTAGAGGTGGAAAATCTTGCTGTCATTTTTCATTAAATTTTTCATTTCACACAAAAAGCTTCAGGGAAAATATATAAAGAGGAAATTCTGAAAACTAGACTTTTAGTACTTTACTGTTTAATGTCATTGTACGTCTTTCTTCCTGAAAGGGTCCCGTGCCATACTATTTTAATACCGTTTCTATGATAGTTGTATAATTTATATATTGATTAGTATAACATTGTGTTTCATAATTGCTATACGTCTTCGAAAAGGAAAATTTAAAAAGGGAAATTCTAGTTAAAAGTTTTTACGCGTTTTGTTTGTGAAAAGAAAAAAAATATGCATCAAATTTACTTTTTTTTCCTGCGATGTATACAATGTTAAATAGTGTATGTAAAATAACCCAAGTCGAGTTTTTTTTTCAAATTAGAATTATACTGATTGATGAATACGACTGTCAGATAAGTAAATTCATATCAGTAAAATGATTATCCGCGGATTTTTTTTTTTTTCAAATAACCTACGAATGGAATACATATAAGAACTGATTAAATTGATTATAATTATGCAAAAATGCATTCAAGTTATACAGGATTTGCAAGTGACGAGAGAGAGAGAGAGAGAAAGAGAGAGAGAGATTATATTAGCTTCATCATTGGGTCTCTGATCCATGATGAATTGTCGTTTGTCATCACAATTGCATAGTATTTGCTAATTGAAGTGCCCGAGGCCTAGGGCATTACAGGTTTAAGATAATAAAGAACTTCCGTTCAATTTCGCCTCGATATTTGGGGAAAAAAAATCTTTGATGTCAGTAGATTCATTTGTATGTAAATATCTAATTGTAATAAAAACTAATTAGAGGAATATTTGTTGTTTTCTGAAAAAAAGCTATTCTCTCAAAATCGATCCGTAGTGGGTGATTTTATTATAAAGTTTTCATTAGAGGATGAAACACACAGTCTCAAAGGGAAATCTGATTTCCGTTGTACTTTTTGCTAGTATACAGTGCTTTGATTTCTTTATTTATCATCGTTTTTGAATTTTAAGTTCCTGATTAGATTCTACAGATGGAATACAGTAAACTATTTGATCCTAAAATCGCATTATGTAATCTATTACATAACATAAATGATTGTATTTTGAAAACTAAAGAACTCTTTACAGATTAGATCTGGGTTATGCTTTTTCGTTGTTTTCATGACAAAATGATTTTTTTTTTCAGAATTGAGAATTAAGGTTTGATTTTTCATCACTACTGTAAAAGTATAGATTCCTGGCACTACTATATATACAGATACAGTGGCTTTGATCAAGCGGAACTCATTTTATTTTAATTTAAAATCAAGTTGACACTTTTTACCACGACGGAACACTCTATATCGAGAAAACATAACGTCATAACTTACAGTTTCTCAAATGCTATAGTATACACGTAGCCGTAAATAGTAAATGCAATTATTTTAAATATTTTAATAATTCTAAATATTATTGATATTTGAGACTTATTTATTACTTCTAAGAAGCAAGAGGAAAAGGGGAGAAATATTTGAGCTTTTTTGTGTTTAGGTCTTAATATGTGCTTTTCTAGATGCTATACGCTGTATAATATTAAATGGCAAAGATAGCATATATCATAAGTAAATTGACGAACATTTATAGTGAACCATGCATTTTTTCTATAATTTCAAGTCGTCACAGGACTTTTCGAATCCAGCTTTTGAGCCTGACGACGGTCTTGCGGATGACCACCACTTTTCTGACATAGTAGAACACGTTCTAAGACAACCCCTAAATGGAAGATATGTTCATCCATACGGACAAGGGAATTTGTACAAAGCCATTTTGGTCGGCGAGAAAACCAAGCTTCCACAGAGCGCTGGGAAGCTTGTATTTTGGACCGTCTTTCTTCTGATGATGGTGGGACTAGCTTGCTCAATCATCCTTCTGGCTGGTAATTATAACTTCTTCTTCTTCTTTTTTTTTTTTTTTAAAGCTATTTACTTAATTAAGGATTAATCAAATCGTATATCGCATTTTAAATTATGCATACATGTAATAGTATCTTGCAGTGATTACATCCTCGAAAAAATATTTTATCCATTTGTCTGTTTCTCTGACAAATCTAGCAATTTAATTCTTTTTAATGCAGTGTCAACATCCATTGTTTTGAATATACCGGCATGTTTATTACTTAAGTTAACTTTAATCTATGTTGACTTAATTTCATTGACATAGAAACCTATAAATCAGACCAGTCTTTACTTTTGTCTACAAATGACACTACAAAACGGCGCTGACGAGAATTCTGTGTGGAGCATTTAAACCCGGGAAGAACCTAGTCCGTCGCTTCGAAAGTGATCTGATCACGTGACGCTGACGTTTGAAAGAAACTTATAGTTACAGATACATGCTCAAAGGATGAGTGGAACATCAAGTGAAGGAAGTGGAATATGAAATACAAGTAATTGCACTTCGCATCAAAAGGACTGAAATCAAATCAAGATACAGTGGAAAATCAAACAGACAGGACTACATTAGAGGAGACTTATCCATTTGTAATACATGTACATGTTTATGGAAAAGTCATTATAAATTGCTTGCCTTTTCTAAAGATCTTGATAATTTCTTTGGAATCGACACTTCTAAATTGTAAATTCGTTCCGAATCTATTTCATAGTTGTTGTTATATATTTTGTAATTGTATATTTTTATAATTACAATTTTATAATTCCCCGATCTCAGATGATATCGAGTGTACATATTAAATCAAGTGTACATACATCGACTGTACAAACATATCATTTATTAGATCTCTAAAGAATTATTTTTTCTGTAATAAAATTAGTGGAAAAATTGTATGTATTTTTATGTTACAGATCTGAAATAGACTTTAAGTGAAATGCTAAATTCTGGTCTGTTTAAGGTAGTACACAACACCCATGAAATCTGTTGTGACGCATATCTTATAAAGAACACTAGAAAAATGAAAAAGTTCACTATAATGTCAATAATTAAGGATCTTTGCAAGAAAAATAATAAGCTGTGACATGTTTTCACCATATTTTGAAGAAAAAATAGAGACATCCTATATATTGGTCATTCGGGAGCCTACATTTTGGATCGTTTTTATGCCATCTACATGCCATATGACTGTCTGTTATTAAATGCAAAGTAACTTTTGATCCATTTATTGTTGAAACCTGATATTTGGACATAATTATTTATATGGAGTCTCCAATCCTTTTTTTTACAATAAAGGTCAAGGTCATATAAAGAGGACAAAGGTCAAATAGAGTGACGTCATCTACTGAATCTTTGCATTTTATTTTTTGCATTTGATTTATTTAAAATTGCCAAAATATCTGAAACCGCCGGTGTAAAGACGAATAAGGACCCCCGTAGAAAAATGACCGGGGGGTCATCGAAAATTGACCCCCTAGCAGTAGAAAAATTTAATTTTTTGTAGAAAAAACCCGAGGGGTCAGTGTTTTATATGTGCAACCTATAAGAAATTGACTCCCGTTGAAAAATGACCCCCATCCCAACAGAGTGATAGAAAGATCAAAAGAGATGATTGATGCCAAGGTTAAGATCTCAACCGGTAATTCTCTTGTGTTTTTCTGATTAACACTAGACGAACACGCAGTAAAATTTGTTTAAAAACATTGCGTATGTTTCTTTCTATTAGAACTATTGTGTTTTCAGCTCAAAATTAAAATTGCACAATAGATACGTCACAGTAGCTATTGGTTTAAGGTAAGTCAGGACGATATATTGTTATCGCTAGATCTATTATTTTTTCCGAAAATTTTCTCGGATATGACTTGGATAAATTTAATGAAACGTTTCAGAAATAACGATCAGCAACAGTTAATCTAGATGTTCATTAAATATTGTGATTTTTGAAACTGATCACCGTTGTCATGAAAAAAAAGTCAACTAACATTGTCAAGGCTTTTAAAACCCCTGTGAAACTTCACAAATGCATTTACATTAAAGATTTTTAAAACTGTTTCCATTGCCGCGGAAACAACTGGACAAACTTTTTCTCACAACGAACGAGTGAACTAACTCGGACAGTTTCAAAACTGCCGTTACAGGATCATTTTGTATGAATCATTGTGTATGTCTATTGTATGAGGCGCTGCATTGGTATTTATTACCATTTAGTGATACTGCCTATCCGAATAGGTGGTATCACCTGTTTGAAAAGGTGATATTACTCATTCAAATTGAAAAGGTGATAAAGTTTGTGCAAGAGTAATGAAATCAATTTCATCAATTTTGAATCACTCCTAAGGAAATAAAATTGCTCTTTGAAAGCCTTTTCAAAGTTCATCCTTTACTTTGCAAACCTGCATATGAAAATTGACCATAAGCAAATTCGGGCTGCCCTTTCCGCCTGTGTTGTAGTCCAAGACATATAAAACACCATTTGTTTTCAATTCCTATGAAGTTATATAAATTTTACTTGCAGTTAGTTTTGCTATATTTATTGATACTTTTTATGCCCCCGTATCGAAGATTCGGGGGTATATAGTTTTTGCCCTGTCCGTCCGTCTGTCTAGCTGTCTGTCTCTCTGTCTGTCTGTTTGTCCGCAAAAACTTTAACATTGCCCATAACTTTTGATTGGTTGAAGCTATGGCTTTAATATTGCACATGTGTATTTCTTGTAACAAGACCTTTCTTTGGGTACCATCGTATTTGACCTTTGACCTTAGAGTTTGACCCAGTTTTTCAAAATTTTACCGAACTTTAACCTTGGCCCTAACTTTTGAACGGTTGGTGCCAACGCTTTCATACTTCTCAAATGTAATCCTTGTGACAAGACCTTTATTTGGATACCACTAACTTTGACCCTTTGACCTTGACCTTGGAGTTTGACCCAGTTTTGCAAAACCTTTAACATTGGCCATAACTTTTAAATGGTTGGTGCTAGGGCTTTCATACTTTACCTAATATGTAATCCTTGGGACAAGACCTTTTTTTGATACCAATAACTTTGACCCTTGTAACCTTGACCTTGGAGTTTGATCTACTTTTGGAAAAATTAAACCTTGGCCATAACTTTTGAACGGTTGGTGCTAGAGCTTTCATACTTCATATAAAATTATGTATCCTTGTGACAAGACCTTCCTTTGGATACCAACTTTGATCCTATGACCTTGATCTTAGAGTTTGATCTACTTTTGGAAAAATTAAATCTTGGCCATAACTTTTGAGCGGTTGATGCTAGAGATTTCATACTTCAGATATGTAATCCTTGTGACAAGATCTTCCTTTGGACACCAACAACTTTGATCCTACGACCTTGATCTTGGAGTTTGATCTACTTTTGGAAAAATTAAATCTTGGCCATAACTTTTGAACGGTTGGTGCTAGAGCTTTCATACTTCATATATGTAATCCTTGTGACAAGACCTTCCTTAGGATACCAACAACTTTGACCCTTTGACCTTGGAGTTTGACCTGCTTTTGAAAAACTTTAACATTGGCCATAACTTTTGAACGGTTGGTGCTAGAGTTTTCATACTTCATATATGTAATCCTTGTGACAAGACCTTCCTTTGGGATTCCAACAACTTTGATCCTTTGACCTTGACCTTGGAGTTTGACCTATTTCTGAAAAACATTAACCTTGGCCATTACTTTTGAACAATTTGTGCTACAGCTTTCATATTTCACATGTGTATTTCCTGTTAGAAGGCCTTTCCTTGGACACCATTAATTTTGACCATTTGACCTCGATGTTTGACTTACTTTTGAAAAACTTTAACCTTTTCCATATCTATTCAATGGTTGCTGCTAGGGCTTTCATATTTCACAGGTACATTTCTTGAGACGAGACCTTACTTTGGGAAGCAACATATTTGATTTGCATTTGAGAAAGTTTAACTTTTTCTTTAAGTTGCCATACGGGGGCATCAGTGTTTCACAAACACATCTTGTTCTCTGTTATAATTATCTGTGTGAAAAGAGACTAAAATATTTACTTCCTGTATAGAGTAAATGTATGCACTATAGTCTTGGGAGCAGTTTTTATTTCATGCTTAATTTGAATAGCTAGGTGATATCACCTATTCAAATAGGGGATATCACCAATTCAAAAACTGGATAGGTGATATCACAAATTCGAATAGGTGATAAATCAATTGAATAGGTGATATCATCCATTCGAATAGGCAATGAAATAATGAGATAACGAACAGTATTCAAGTTCAAAGTCCATGAAAACAATACAAATCGAGAACAGAGCAAACACGTACCTCCAAAAACAGAGGTAGGATCAGGTGCCATGGAGGAGTATACATCCCCTGCCGACCGGTGACACGCCTTGTGCTCCTTGTCATGATCGGTAAATAAAGGAAAAATCCGTCGACAATTCAATGTTTAAATCACTTAATAGCGGTAATGGCGATACCACTTAATGGCGGTAAATATCAAAACGGTCCCTCATACTATTGCTTGCAATAGCATACATGCTGACTGACTTTTTTCATTCTATTTGTTAGGCCATTATTTACACACTGAATTGTCGACGGATTTTTCCGTTATTTCCCGATCATGACAAGGAGCACACAGCGGTTGTAACCGGTAAGCAGGAGATGCTCACTTCTCCATAGTACCTGATCCCACCTCTGATGTCATAGAGGTCCGTGTTTGCTCTGCTCTTATTCTGTAATGTTTAATGGACTTTTGAGCTCGAATACCGTTCGTTATCTCCACGTTTCATTCTAGTCCTGATCCTTTTTTTTCGTTTTTTTTTTCATATTTCGATGTTTTACTGATTATTGACGTTTATGGCCAATTAACAAACAGGTTGACTTTAGAAGTCTCTAAAACATCAAGTAATTCTTCTTATTTTAAAAATTATAAGGCACTTTTGCTTTATGCCCGAAAATTACATGTATGTACACTATTTAAATCATTGGCTTAAAAAAGGCATTCGGACGCAACTTACTTAACCGGTAGATAGACATTGTAAACATCTCTCTCTCTCTCTCTCTCTCTCTCTCTCTCTCTCTCTCTCTGGACTCTGGATAGTATAAGCGAAAATAAATCGATATTTTTATAAACAATGTTACATAAATCAATCAGAATGAAAGCATTTCCACATAGTGAACATTGTCAATTCATCATAAAAGACATTTTAAAGATTTAATGAGAACAACAGATCATCGCTGTATCTTTAATTTAACTTACATGTAGGTGAGCATTTTGATCCATGGCCCTCTTGATTTATTAGTTCTTGATATTTTTAATCCAAAAAAAGTATTTCTTATAAAATCTACCAGGGGTTAATATTCTACGGGGGTCATTTTTCTTCATGTAGGGGTTTGCAGATTTTAAGGGTGATGCCACTTTTTCTACGGGCAAAAGGGTCATTTCTCGACGTCGAATAATAAACGAACTTCATTTTTCAACGTCAATTAATTATTCTACGGGGGTCATCATTTACACCGGTTCAAATTTCCTCATTTTGATATGTTTTAATCTGAGTTCCATTTCAATTATTCTGTTGATTTTTTGTCATACATTTTCTTTAAAAAGGACTTAATTTTCAATTTCCTGGCTAGGTATGTTCTATTTTTACATCATATTTTCCTCAAATATACCGGTATCAAAATATTTTACTAAATTTTAGTACAAAAAGGTTGCCTTTATAAATAGCATTACACAAGTTTGCAATAGATCAATTGGTTATTTTTAAATAATGCGCAATCTCA